CTTCGCACTTAGACAAAACACCCCTTGAGCCGCACTGGTCAGTTCAAGGTCAAAATGATTGGAACAAACGCCAATGGCAGAATTAAATAAGTTCGAATATTTTCGCTATCTTGTTCTCTGGGTGATTTAGTTAATAAGAACTTAAAGAATCCAAAGTCTGAGAGTTCATTAGCGCTGTCGTGCGGTAGGACGGCTCTGCCTAAATGAGTTAAAATCTAACACACACCAAAGATTCGAAGTGTTGTGATCGTGTAGATAAAGGGAAGATCTTTTTTCTGAAAGTAGTTTCATGGAGTGAGGGATGTGCAAATCCCTTTGCAGGTGAGCAATGAATAAGTCATTAGATTTTCCTCGTTCTTACCTTGAAAATTCGGTCTGATTTTTAATTTTCCTTTGGATCCACCGCAGCTAATTTACGCGGGAGTTGAAAGAAAGCCGTTTGGGTTGAGATGACGAGACAGAAAAGCGCAGAGAGATAGGAATGCGTTTTATTTTTAAACTATCATTTAAACCTTTTGACAAACGTGGTCTCCTACTCTGTGACTTGATGGTAAATTGACGAATTACGCCAGTCCGAAGGTTTACATCAAAATGAATATCTATTTCGGGGTCAATTTAAGCCGTGGGTTCGACATTACTGTCCCTTTACACGTCAGTTTTCGTACGATAAGAAGCATTTACATTTCGATATACACAATAGATATGTCGGAAGCCTTGGCACATGAAACGTAATTACTTTGTAGCTATCAAATCCGAATGAAGAGATTGGACACCATCCAGAACTTGATCAGCAACCAGCGGGCACATTGTATATAATCATAGCAACTAAATAATATAAGGAACATAAGTGGCAGCGTCGACAATTTGTGATGTCCAAAACCCTCAAAATATACCAAAAACATTTAGAGGACACGTTTTAAAATCAGTCTGCGTCTTTTCAGCAAGGCTGGAAAAAATTGCACATGGTTAAATAATGAGAGTGAGAAAAATATATTAGAGCAACTCTATTGAATACTGAAAGAAACTTCTAGACCAGGAAAAATAT